TGTCTGCGTTTTGAAATAAGTGCTATTCGTGTGTTTGTGCGCGTCTGTGTGTGTGTGTTGTTTTTAAGAATTATTAAAATGACTCATATTTCATTTCTGAACGGGACGTATTTATCAGACTTTTTGGCACATTTGCCGAACAGTTCTCTCTTTTTTTTTTACGCCTTTCCCTTTGAAATTAATTTCCCCGCTAAATACAAAGCGCAAGAAACAAGCTGTCTGCAGCCATCTTTGACAGTCGCCATTGTCCGAAGTTGATTTGTAGGTTTTTAATAAATAAACCAAGCCCGATCTCCACAATAGTGTTTGGTTCGACCTGAATCAACTTATAGTGATTGCGTCAAAGTCGAACAACCAGTTTAAAAAAACAAAAAAAAAAAAAAAAAAGACAAAGGAAACACCATTTTTATCAAAGCAAAAAAAAAAAAATCCGATTTTCAGATAAACTGTCTTTGTGAGTTATCTGAAAAAATAAATAAAAAAAAATAGAAAATAATAGAAATTTATTTGTACTTAGACACACAGGTATGTATAAAAAGGTCAGAGAAACAACGCGAAGGCTATGTATATTGATTGGCCACTTTCAAGGCTGACAATGAGTGCAACAGATATTTAATGTTGCTCCTATCTTGATGGCAGATACAAAAAAGTTTACAGGAACTCCTAGTCAAGAAAGGACTAACCAATAAGACAATGAAGCTCAATTGCAAGAAGACTGAATGCATGGCTGTTAGCAAAAAGGATCAGCCCAACATGTAAATTACAAATTAGAGATACAGGTGCAACAATTTAGATATCTTGGAAGCGTATTGACAGAACGGAAAGTGTGACACGGACATCCGAAGGTGCACTGGAATAACAAAATGTGCCTTGTAAAAGCTGAGCTAAGTATTAGGAAAGAGAAAAATATCTTTAGAAACAAAGAAAACAATAAAAAAAATGTTATGTAATACCAGTCCTTCTATATGGCAGTGAATACTGGACAATCTAATCACGGGTGGACGAGAGACTTGAAGCAACAAAAATTTGGTTCAACAGAAGGATGCTGAGAACACCTTGGAACCGAAATTGTGAGCAATGTCGAAGTTTTAGAGACATTATCAAAAAGACATTTAATATCAAGAAGAGACAGTTGAAATTTCTAGGGCGCGAAGAGGAAAGAGGGCTTGGAAAATTTGATACTCACAGGACAGATTGAAGCTAAGAAGGCCAAATGAAAGCAACGCACAATATGCCTGGCGAGCTTGAGTAAATGAATGGCAGAAAAAGAGTTTGGGGGAGATGGCAAAAAGACCAAAGAAATTGTGGAGAGCCATAATCGCCAACGTCCTGAATGGATACGACACATAGAAGGCTGGTGTCAGCACGCGTAACAGCCCAGTACGCGTACTACAAATTTGAGATGTCAAAAATCAATAAAGTACAAAAATTTAAATGTACTAACGGAAAATCTGAAAGCTAATTGGAATATGGAAGATGCCTTCCAAAAGGTAAGCAATGTATTAAGAATTGGGAAAATTTCGTTAGAGACAAGAAAAATTGTTGAACTACATTCTAAGTTTTTAATATTTTTGCATTCAATTCCTGAAGGAAAAAATACATATACATATATAAATCCAATTTTCATTAAAATTCTAAAAATATCTTAAAAACTATAAAAATTGTCGAAAGAGTATACAGTCATAGCAGTGTCAAAAAAAAAAAAAAAAAAAAAAAAAAAGTCATTTTGACAGGGTTTTTTTCGGGTACATTTGTTAAACTTTGCCGAATTTTCTATCACATATTATAGATGTTAAATGTTATTACAGCATATTGTTATATTTCCTTATCATTAGTTATTGGTGTGAATATCTTTTTGTGCGTCCAGAGATTAATGGTAAAACTGAACCTTCTATCCGTCACAACTTATCCCAATACATGAACTTATAAGCAACTGTACTAAAATTTCACGAAATGTTAAGCAACTTCACTGGCATTAATAAGACTCCAGCAACGTTAAAAAACAAAAAAATAAATAAAAAAAACGGTAAAAATTAAAATTTCATTAAATACATCTTTCTGTTCCTGATACATATCAGCAATGTTTCCTTTTTTTTCACTAAAGTGTAAACAAAGCTTATGCCTAGAATAAAAAGAAAAAAGAATTAAACAAAAATAGCTCTTAAATGTTACTTCATTGTGTATTCAAGAACTCAACCAAGTCGACGACTTTACTTACATTGAAATACCTTTCTATTTATTAAGCCAAGCATGGAAATTTAAGCAACTACCATGTGATACACGCCTAGGCGGTCATGTATCATGACGAGGCAGATTTTTCCCCGCAGTAGTTTGCCATTTCTTTCTGCGGGTGACCAGTTGCCATCCAAGGCTATAAACCATCCGGTCTTGTCTGCTATTTACCCATAGCTCATGGGGAGAATTGAGATAGAGACGGAGAACGTTTTCAAACGTTATTTTTAGTGGATATCCGCACACGAGTGCACAAGCCGGTAGGAATAAATAAATATGTAAAAATCGCTTGAATTTACAATCGCGTGAGGAGACTCATTGATATGTGTTGAAACATGACTGCAATTGTGTAGCGATTTTTACATGTTTTAATATTCTAAAATAATAATATTGATCTACTCTATATTGAGTACTCTTTTACATTAAATGTACGAACGTTGGAATTATACTCTATTCGTTCTCATCTTACCTGGGGAGATGAGATATGTGTAAGTGTTGTAAATACGGTGCTATTAAGTATACATTATTGAATATACATAAGATCCAACGTCGATAGCACGACTCGGAGTTTCATGCAAATTTGCAATCTTCAGGTGCTGAATACGATCTGACCGCATAGAAACTCCGAGTCGTGCTATCGACGTTGGATATTATGTATATTCAATAATAATTATATATATATATATATATATATATATATATATATATATATATATATATATATATATATAACAGCTGAATGCAACCGTCGCTGTGGAACTCCCTTACGTTAACTTGCTTCCCTGATAACTACAATCTTCAAAAAATTAAATGCAACGTCAAATTCCATTTTCTTGAAACCCGTTCATGTTTTGTCGTCTCCTCAATCCTCCTTACACTCAGTCTTTTCTCTCACGTTCAATTCCTGTGAACTGGACGCATTCCCGCGTTGCTTGGGTTGAAATGATATATATAAAAACTCTTCGGACGAAGACCCATGGTCTCTCGAAACCGACAGATGCCACAAGAATATACACATTTTTTTTTGCACACACACACACACATATATTATATATATATATATATACATATATATATATTTATATTAAATTACGATAAACGTGCAATCAATTTTGGATAATAGGTGCGACATTACTGTAATTATTGAACAATATAGTTCATGCCACTTTGACAGAAAAATTTACCAGTAAAAAATTTGTTCATCACCATATTTTATATGAACGCACAACCTTTAAAAATTTTAAATCAAACTCAGCGTTGCTTTTGCGCGTTCAAAAACAATAACTCATTTTCAATAGCATTTTCGGATACAACAATACATATATTTTCGTTGTCCTCTTATTACTAAGAGAAAAAACAAGAACATCTATTCTATACCTGAAGATGTCTGTAGGAACAGACGAAAGCTTGTAGTAAAATAAGAACTAATACGGCAGAAATTTATATAAACAAGGATCATTTCATTCATAACGGATACGGAGGTTTTTGTATATTATTTGAATTGTTTGCGATGATTGATGTCTCGCCATTTAAATCATTAACCTTTGCATGAATAATTCATGTACATATATATAGCATCATGAGAAGCCACGTATACTTTCTTAGTATGTATATATAGAAAAAGTTGCAAATTAAAAAAAATAATAATGTTCTTTTATGAAAGTATATATATATATACACACACACACACACACACACACACACACACATGTGAAGACAGCTGTACACTTAAAACATGGATTTTAAAAAATAAAATTGTCTGAAATCTTGAGAGGGGGGCAAAAAGAGAAGAGCAGATCCCCCCTAAAACAGCAGATCTCTGTCAAGCAAAAAGAAGTTTCGGTGTTGACATTTGGTATAGAGCCGCGGTTGGGGTGAGATACTAGCAGTGGGCGAATGATGTCAGGAGGGCTTCATGAAAACATAGGCGGACACTGCAGATTGGCAGTTTCAAGCGATAATATTGAGTTTCAGGTGACTTCATTGGCACGCAACCAAGTTTTAGAGTTATTTATTAAATATAGTTTAGCCCGGCTTCTTTTTCTTTAATATCATGTCCCTTTAAGAGACACTGTGACGTCGTGTTGATCATAGACACAGTATCGAGCTAATGTTCTCAGCTGACATGTGGTGGAAAGACTACACTGATTCCATCGCCAGATCAGCTGCTAAGAAAGTCGGTTTACCTTGTCGAGCAAGATATTTTTTTTTTAACCTTGCATATCTAGAAGTCTACCATTTGGCCATGCTTAGAGTATCGCTGCCATATATAGTCCGGTGCTCTTGTTATTTTCCTGGAGCTCCTCGATAAGATACAAAGAAGAATCAGCAATATTATTGGTCCTGATCTGGCGGCTCGGCTTTAGTCACTTGTCCACTGTTGTAAGGTTGCCCCTCTGACTTTTTTTTATAAATATTTTCATAGTAATTTTTCGAATGAGCTCTTCACTATGGTACTTAGACTGTATTAATTTAAGCACAATACAATTTAAGCAGTGAGATCTCATCAATTTAAAGTTGAGCTAGCGAAATGTAGCCGTAACTTCTATGCTCAGTTTCTTATCCTGTACTTCGCGTTTGTGAAACTCTCCCGGCTCGATGCTTTTCAGCTAATTTTAATCTGCAAAAATTTAAATGCAATGTCAATTGCTACCTACTGTCCTCCTGATTACTCTCTTCTTTCTGCTCATCATTGTTCTTCCTAGTTCTACCACACCCTGTAACCCCCTTGTGTTTTAGTGGCTTTACTGATTTGCTTGGGGTGATACAGATTTGAGAAAGAGAAAAGAAAGAGAAAAGAAAGAGAAAAGAAAGAGAAAAGAGAAAAAGAGAAAGAGAAAGAGAAAAAGAGAAAGAGAAAGAGAAAAAGAAAGAGAAAGAGAAAAAGAGAAAGAGAAAGAAAAAAGAAAAGAGAAAGAGAAAAAGAGAAAGAGAAAGAAAAGAGAAAAAGAGAAAGAAAAGAAAGAAAAAAAAAGAAAGAGAAAAAGAGAAAGAAAGAGAAAAAGAGAAAGAAAGAGAAAAGAAAAAGAAAAAAGAAAAAAAATAAGTACAGAAATTCGAATATCAGGGAAATGTTTCAACAATCGGCGGAAATGTGTAGGCGTTTTGGGATAGAGAGAGATCTTCGAGAAAATATACAAAGAATTAATAAACGGGAAATTTTCAATTTGTCTATATTTCGGAGATGCGATACTATAATTATTTACACTATTTGCATTGTTTGGACTGTTGTTTTCATCTTTGTTGCCATAATCACGATGTTTCGACCGTTATACGCTCCGGCCTTCTTCAGGTGTTTGAAATTTCGAACCGAACACTTTATTTCGTCCACCGGGGTAGATTGTTCTAGTTTCACGTGCCATGCCTCTTCCGGATATCTCAGTATTAGTTATTTCCATTTTAACTCAACACTCCAAGTTTTTCTTCACCTCTGCTGTAACCAGGTATTGAACCCACAACGCTTTCGGTCAAGTTACTGGATTCAACAAACGCTTTTATCCACTGGGTCATAAAACAAAGAAAGAATGCTGAACTGTTATGTAATAATCTTCCTAAATGGCAGTGAATGCAATTTCCTCACAGCCCAAGAATAGGATTCTACAGAAGAATGATGAGAATGCCATGGACGGAACATGTGAGCAACGGGAAGTTTTAAGAGAAAGTGTGGGTGGGGAACGTACACATACGTAGAATAAGAGAGAGAGAGACAATTGGAATTTTTAGGGCACAATGAGAAAGGAAGTCTTCAAACAGTTGACACTCATAGGGCAGACTGAAGAATCGATTGATTAATCGATTCATTTTCTATGGCTAATCAACCCTTTGAAGGTTATTTAAAGACAGAAAACATTTTTAGACTGTAAGATTTTTTTTAGAACATAATAGGTTACTGATACTATTCTTACTAATTAACCCATATCAGGAACAGAGGAAAGAGTCATACGTTCCCCAAAGGTATTTGCGCGTAAGTGAATATAATGAATCCAACTGGGATTGGAACTCTGCACACTGATTAACAATTCGGAGCCATTATTCCACACAAGCGGTCACCCATCTAGGTATTGATCAGGCTCGACATTGGTTAACTGAAGTGATCGTACAAGAACTGGGGTTTCAACACGAAAGGAAAAGGGGCAAAGAGAAACCTTGACAGACCTACTAAAGGAGTTTGTGCAAATGGATCTATATATAAAATTCTGAGACTTCCGTTTGTCCGTCCGTCCGTAACACCCTCTAAAATAGCCGTACATTGACCCATCGAAACCAAATTTTGGGGAGATGGGCAAACAGGTAAGGGGCTACAAAGTACAGTTGATTTTACTAGGGTGTGTAGCTTACTACAATAAATTTTCATTTTGAGAGGTGCAAGAGAGATATTAAAAGTTTTATTATTTAACATCCAAAAGACTGCCACTATTTTAGAAACAGTTTAATGATTAAAGTAAATCATTATTTAATAAAAATGCAATACTGTTTTTGCATATCTAGTTTTTGTATATAGAAGAATCCAGTTTCCAGTTCGTATTGTTTGCGAGAATTATAAACAAATCACAAAGTTAAACGCTTCAAAAAGTAGGGGTTTGGCTTCAGAAGGAAATATTTACACATGATCATTTGTATGTTGCATGCTCAAGAGTAAGAAATCCCAAGAATTTATTCTTCCCTGTTAAAAAGAGGGAAACATTCCTATAAAATTAAAGAAATTAAACCGGAAAGTAGGGTTTTTGTCAAAGTATTTTTCCAAACAAATCACCTTATTCAAATTCCATCGATTGGTTTGCGAAATTGAACAAGACGCAGAGTTTATAAATCTCAACAAAAAAATGTTAGCGATAACTTCAACAATATTAAATACTGTGATCTACTTATCTGTTCCGTTATCCATTTTCACAAGTTCATTAAGTAGGCTGATCATGACCCTCCATAGCTTCTTATCCTTTGTAGCCGCAATCAGTGTATCTCCCCTTACTATTTCTCACCGTCTATTCTTCTCTCCATTTTCACAGGCTCGTTAAGTAGGTTGATCATAGATCCCCACAACTTCCTACCCTTTGTAGCTCTAAGCAATATATGTCCTCTTGCGTCAGCGTGTTGCAAAAAATTCTATCGAGACAAAAAAGGTGTGGGAATGATAAGAAAACGATAGACGTTGCCCATATCCTTAAAGTAAATGACCTAAGAAATTAATAATGGCTCTCTAAATTCTATTTATTATCCGTGAAAAAGGTAGGAAATTGCTTTCCTTGTTGTCATTTTCACGGTTTTGAATTCAGAGAGATCTTTCTCCAGACCGCCTGGCATCTAAAGTTAAGAGCCGAGTTTACCCTTATAACACATAACTGAGGGAAGAGACGAGTTTGTACCTTTCCTAAATACATTTTTGCGAGAGTGAACTCATTGTAAATAGGTTTTGCCTGGCGAGCTGTAGTAGTGTACCTATATATCTTCACTTTCTATCTGACAGCGTTACGGTTGTAGTGTCCTCAGGCCATCATCAGGTGTATGTGGATCGTGCGATTTCGAACAGAAAATTGCTAGGAACTTACTTAATGAGAGTAAGTGGATGGCAGTGCGAAAGATAAAGAGTGGATGGTAAAGAGTAAAACGTTGCCCAGAGCAACAAAAGATAGGAAGTTATGGAAAGCCACGATCCCGCACATACAAAAGAGCCAGTACAAAAATTTCCAATGTTAAATAAAATTGATTTTTACCTTGATTAAGCAACTACAACTTTATCACGCCGACAAACATGCTATCAATAATGGCATAAAAGCTCAATAATCAATAATTATTCTCGTTCCGGTATGACGATAAACTACATCCTGTAGCAAGACCTCTGATCTGAAGATTGAAGGCTTTCAGGAGCGTGGAATCATCTTTTAATTGCTGATGTTTACAGGTTCACCCTGGCTCGGGGTGGTAGCACCTGTTAGGGTCCAAGGTATGGGTAATATTTTTCTTTTTTTATGTGCCGTATCCTTTCAGGGCGTAGGTGATCATGACTCTCCACTTTCCCTTGTGACTCCCAATAAGTTTCATGCCTCTGCCAACTTTCCCAGACCACGTTCTGCAATCCACTTGCTTAAGCCCGCCAGGGATGTCATGCGTTGCTTTCCCTTGCCTCTTGTTCCCTTTATTCGACCTGTGAATATCAGATTCTCCAGGCCCTCCTTTCTCATTATGTGTCCCAGAAATTTCATTTGCCCCTTCCTTATGTTAAGTATAATGAACCCACAAAACAAAGATGAAACACTAGGAAAGTATAAATGTACGTTTTTATAACAAAATGACGAACAATACATGTTATCTATAGTTGAAGGTATGCAATTTCTTTTCAAAATAAGTAGATTTTGGCATTAAATAACCCATAGAGATTGACAAACAAAATCAGCCAAACAGACCTCATATTTACATCTTTATTATATGTATACTTGTGGGGAACAAACATGAGAAAACAAACAAAGAAAAGATATTTCAATTCATGTCCATAAGAATGAACTACATTAAGCATATTTTAGCTTCACAATGTATTACGTACATTCAATAATGAATAAATATAGGCTCAATAGCTATACTACTGTAAGCAACGTTACATTTATTGGAAACTGCCTCAAAATTAACACAACCAAACATGATTTAACATTACTTGCATTATTTACTGCGACCCCCCCCCACACACACACACACCGCCGAGTGATTTGTAACACATCTATTTATCATCTCTCAGTTATGTGTGTCTTTGGGCAGGAGTACGCTCAGTGGCGACTCCGTCAAAGAACAGAGTCGCAACCGAGAAAAAAACTATACTGAGAGGTGCCCAGCCCTGGGGAACAGCTGCCCGAGTTCGTGCCCTCTCATTTCACCAGAGACAGGGATCGGTGCTCGCACCGAGACCAGCGCAACCGACAGTTGCGGGAGATGCGGTCAATTTTTGTTCCTGTGTACGCGCTTGGGTCCCACCTTGAAAAAAGTTGTGTCACAACTCGTCTTAGTGGGAAGACAGAGTAAATACCTACTTGCATTATTTACATTAATATCCTTGAAGACAAACGGCCCGGTGGATAAAGACGTTGGTTAGATCTCGTGAGTTCAGTACCAGGCCACAGCAGTGGTGAACCAAAACTTGTAGAGAGGAGTTAAAGGGAAATAACTGAGACATCCGGGAGAGGCATGGCACGTGGAACTAGAACAATCTACTCAGGTGGACAAAATAAAGGGTTCGGTTCTAAATTCCAGTCACCTGTAAAAGGGAGGAGCGTACAACGGCCGAAACGTTGTGAATATGGCAATGAAGATGAGGGTAAGAGTCCGAATAATGTAAATAATGCAAGTAATCATAATACCTCATCTCAGAGATATAGACAGATATTAAAGAAAAACTCCAATCACCCGAAGAAGGATGTGGCAAAGATGATGATATAAGTAATCATAATACCTCATCTCAGAGATATAAACTGATGATTTAAGATGATTATCTTGTTCTAATCACCATATTATTAACAAAAAATAAAATAGGAAAAGAATTTTAATATCCTAACCATTATGCATTCAGTTCTTGAAAATGACTAATGAAAGTTGAAAATGATCGAATAGGCGTCTGGGTAATTTTTACATGCATTAAAAATAAACATGTGTTACCTGATTTTCTTAGATGAGGAATTATTTACACTATTTATATTCCAACTATTGTCCCCATTCTGTTGCCGCTATTACAACGTTTCGGTCGTTATGCCTTCATCAGGTATATATCGATCGAGGTAACTTACATTCTGAATTGAACCCTTTATTTAATCTCCGTGATTAGACTGTTCTCGTTCCACTGCCCATGTCTTGGGATATCTCATTTAGTTCTTATTTTTATTTGGTACTGTTCAGTTATTACTCGCCTGTTTCCACAGAGTTTAAGTACACAGTGCCCGGTTTAAAGATTGAATTCGCAAGTGCTATGTTATCAAACCCATGAACTGTCTCTTTAATCAATTAGGCTATTGTTCCAGAGACACAGAGGCTGAAAAGTTGTGATAACAAAAATTAGGACAACATTCCGAATAAAAATAATGATTTGTTACCATGTAACAAAACAAGAGAAAAATCAGGAAAAACATAAAAATAGTTCTTTAAG